GTATTTTGATGAAAGCAAAACCTGTAACTGTGTTAGTAGACGCCAGTAAATATGGAATTGGAGTGATTCTCTACAAAAAAAACCTGTGGCTTTGGATCAGCATCATTGACAGAAGAAACGCAGCAAAGGTATGCGCAAATTGAAAAAGAACTCTTAGCAGTTGTATATGGGTTAGAACATTTCAACTACTATAGGTACGGAAGACATGTAACAGTGCAGACTTATCACAAAACCATTACTAGGCCCCTTAGTAAGAAACCTCTGATACAATCTCACCTCGTCTTCAGCATGCTCCTCAAACTGAACAGGTATGATTTGAAATGGAATATGTCCCAGGAAAAAAATTGCTAATAGCTGATGCCCTGTCCAGAGCACAGTCAAATGTTGACACCTTTGATGACACTTCAGTCAAGAACCTACTGTTAATGTAAGTCTATTAACACAAGCCTCTCCAACAAAATGGCAGGAAATTTGTAAAAATGACAGAAAAGGACCCTGGAATTGCAAGATGTGTTATTTCATATCAAAACTGGATGGCCAGAAAGAAGCAAAACAAGGCCAGCAGCACAAACTTACTGGCATTGCAAAGAAGAGCTTTATACAACAAAGGATGGACTAATTTGTCAAGGACAACAACTAGTTGTGCCAGATATTATGAAAATATATATATATAGATATATGAAATATACTAGATATTATGAAAAAACTGCATGTGTCTCACAAAGGTACAGTTTCTAGTAAAGCTAGAGAATATTTTTACTGCACGAACATCAACAAAGATGTGGAAGAATATGTTTCTAAATGTGCGATATGTCAGAAATATCAACAGGCTAATCAGAAAAAAGTTCTTTTAGACTGTGATCTACCAGAGAGACCCTGGCAAAATGTTGCCTGGGATTTTTTTCCTGAAAGGACAACAATATCTGTTAATGATAGACTACTTTTCAAAATATGTAGAGCTGAAACCACTTAAAAGCATAACTGCTCAAGCTGTAATGACTGTTATGAAGTCTATTTTTGCTATACATGGAATACCAGAGAAGCTCATCACCGATGGGGGACCACCATACAACTCGGAAGCATTGTGGAAATTTCTTGAAGAATGGGGTGTTATGCATAACATCACATCACCACATTTTCCTAGAGCAAATGGGCAAATTGAAAGATCTGTCCAAACTCTCAAGAAGTCTCTGAGCAAAGCTGCGGAAGAAGGAAAAGACTGTATATTGTTTTGCTAGATATAGAATTCAACCTGCAAAAGATTTGCCATCCCCGGCTTGAATTATAATGGGAGAAGATGAGATCTTTTCTGCCATCACATCCTAAAGCATTGCAACCAAAATTTCAAATAAAAGGTTTGGCAAGTAGAGCATTAGAAAAAAGGCAGATGGTGCAAAAGAAATATGCCAATAAACACGCAACCCAGCTTCCAAAACTTCATGAAAATGATAACGTGTGGTTCAAATGGAAAATTAAAGAGCCTTGGAAACAGGGTATGATCATGAAGACAGGTCCTCAACCAAGATCTTATGTCATAAAAGCAAATGATGGAACTGTGTATAGGAGAAACCGACATCGCATTCGTAAAGACAAGTCTACGTGTGAAATAACAGAGTGGAACAGAACAGCAGAAGATTTGTTTGGACTTGATCAATCAACACTGGATCAACCTGTTCTTGTAGATAATGATAGGCAGGATCCACCTAAGAAACAGAAAAGTGATTCTACTAAACATTCTCAAACTCCAGGAAATGTGTCAACTGAACCAATGTTAAGATGATCAAGTAGAAATAGAATAAAACCTCTTCGATATAGAGACAATTAGGAAGAACTTATTTATGCCAAAAACTTTATTTATAGACTAATAATGGAATTTAATGAACTGTTCAGAACTCTAAAATATCAGTTTAATTAGTAAGACATAACTTTAAAGATTTAAGTAAGTCATCCAGGTATGTAATTTTGCTATGTTCTCTAAAGTCAATTGTTAAGTAATAATTTAATGTCAAAATGTTTTCTTAAGTTAACTGCTAAGAAAGTAATGATGTAAAATAATTATTGTACTAAGTTAGTAACATGCGCTAGTCTTTTTCTATAAATAAAAAGGGCATGTTAGATATTAATTACGAGGGCTATCCAGAAAAGTAGATTACGTTTGGAATAAAAAAATAAACAAAGTATAGGAAACAAATTTTATTATATACAGATGAAAGCAACTCAAATACTACTTTCTACATAGTCACCATACAAATTAAGGCATTTATCGTAGGATTACGAGCTTGGAAATTCCTTCGTCGAAAAAATTCGGCCGCCTGCGCCTTCAACCACTTCGTACCTCTTGGCTTTGGTCGTCATCAAAACGCGGCATAGCCAGCCACTCTTCATGCGGGGAATAGGTGGAAGTCGCTCGGTGCCAGGTCGGGGACTGTACGGCGGATGAGGAAAAACAACTCCACTTAAAAGATTCAAGAACTTTACGAGTGACATTTGCCGTGTGGGGCCGGGCGGTAGTGAATCAACAAGATCTTAGAGCTCAACACCTCTGCGCTTGTTTGATTGCTCTTCTGAGTTTTGGAGAGTTTGGCAATACTTGAGAGTTTATTGTAGTGCTCTTTCCAGGAAGTCCACCAAAATTACACTTTCTGTCCCAAAAAAACAGTCGCATCATCTTCCTTGCCGACATTGTTTGCATGCATTTTGGGTTTTTGGGAAGAACTTGTGTGCCCCCACTGCATTGATGCAATTTCGTTTCAACAGTTCCATGTTTCACCCATGTTTCGTCACAGTAACGATGGATCGAGTAAAGAGTCACATCCTTATGGTAAGCGTCCAAAAAGTTCAACACTGCAGCCATTCGCTGATTTGTGGTCTCTGTCAAGATTTTTGGATCCATCTTGCACAAAACTGTGGTACCAAGCCTTTCGCTGATGATTTCGTTGCAACAAACTTCGCGAAATTTGTGGAAAACTCAAAGAAAGTTCCATTATTGTGAAATTTCGATTGTCACGGACTTTAGCATCGACTTTTTCGAGAAGTCGGCGGTTCACTATGCTGGGTCTCCCACTTCGATCTTCGTCGTGAACATTGGTTCGGCCATTTTGAAATCTTATGACCCACTGACGCACTCCACCTTCAGTGTGAAGTTGTTCCCATACACTTCACGAAGCTGCCGATAGATTTCTATCAGTTTACAGTTTTTGCAGTCAGAGAACCTTATTACTGAGGCACCTCGCAGCTCGCGGGATTTTCAATTAACGCAGACATTTCAAACCGTCACAGTATCTGAACGGAGCACAGCACGAACCTCTCACTAGCACGGCTAGATGCAGACTGAGCTGCGCAACACTCTGACCCCAAGATGGCCGCGCTAGCCCCGCCCCTAGCGGACACAGACGGAAACGTAATCTAATTCCTGGATGGCCCTCGTACTTTGCTTGCTGATAGATGGCAGTGCCTCTAACCTGACTAGCTAGGCAAGTGCACGGTATTTGTGCTGCGTCACACTCTCGTCACTTGCCGACAACCATGTAGCATCAATGTCTCTCTTATGTATAAAGTAATCTACTTTAATCTTATAAATAAACAGTAATTTATCTATGTTTGACAAGTCAACATATATAACAAATATAAAATTTGGTAAGACAATTAGTTACAGATAATGAAAGAACTCATATCTTAAAATAATTAAATGAATTTAGGGATTGCTTTGCTCTTAATATAAATGAATTAGGTTGCATGGATTTAATAAAAATGGACATCAAAGAAATTGATGGAAATAAGTTACTTTGTCTTTTCGTCCATACAAAACGAATGCAGCTGTAAGTAATGTAATAAAAGAAATTGTTAAGGAATGCAAAGATAATGGAATAGTTTCCAAAACTAGATCGTCATATACTAGTCCAGTGTTAATAGTAAAGAAAAAAAAAAGAACATAGATTGGTAATAATTGATTGCCACAGACTTAATAACCAGACAATAAAGGTTAAGTTTCCTTTGCCTCGAATCGGTGACCTTTTAGAGTGTTTTGGAGGATGTAAATTTTCACTGCTCTGGAATTAGTCCATGACTGATTGCAAGTACTGTTAAGTGAACAAGCTAAATTGAAGATAGCATTCATTACTCCAGATGAAACAGGACAGTCTGAAAGGATCACATTTGGGTTAGAAAATGCTCTGCTGCTGAGTTTCAGTGCCTAATGTCGTACGTCCTAGGCCCCTTTCTTGAGCACTAAAGTGTTGTTATATGGATGATATACTTATTCCTGCAAAATCTTGGAAAGAGATGATTTTCAAATTAAAGGAGGTATTAGAATGCCCAAAAATGGCTAATCTTTGGAATATGGTAACAGGTAGTTTGGCAACATTTTGGTAGGCGATAAAGGTTACTAGCTAGGACTTTAGCAGTGTACATAGATAAAGTCAAGAGTGTGCGCAATGCCATTTTTGTGCAATTCTGAGATGTTTTTTCAAGTGAAAATAGGTCGACGTGTACATGGATACCGTGTATGTGCAATTCTTAAAAATGCCGCAAGCAGTTTGCGATTCTGCATTTTCTCCCAATTTCGCACCTAATCTTCGTCATGAGTAAGCACTTTCGTTCCGTAAAAGTTCTAGCATAAGCGTAATTCGGCTAGCAAATTGTTGGAAAAAAATGTTGAGTAAAAAAAAAAAAAAATGCCTTTACTTCGTGAAAACAAAACGGCGTCCAAACAAAATCTAGCAGGTTGCTGTAGCAGGGTTGGTCGCAGAATAAGAAAATCAAAGCAAGAATTGCCTTGCTTTGATTCCAATTTAATTTTAACTGTAGATGCTTTAAGTTTAATTTACTTCAATCCTCCAGTTTACAGCACAAGAAAAATTTTTATTTTTAACTTTTGGCCAATACTATGTTTTTTTTAATTTATATTATTTTTTTATTTTATTTTATTTTTTTTAATATAAGTATATGCTCTCTCTCTTTTTTTTTTTTTTTTTTTTTTTTTTTTTTTTTACCCCCTGCAGGTACGTGATGATGGCATAATTCTCCGTAGTGTGAAATGGGGGCAAATTGTAGAAAGATGGTGGTATGAACGGCTTGTGAATATAACATATTGTCCTAAAAATAAAGTTTTGTGCCTGTGGTGGAGAAATGGAGGACAGACACAACTTAGAAAATACTATACAAAAAAAGTTAGTATATCTTTTTTTTCTTCCACCACCTCAGGGTTCATACGGTTCTTAAGAGTCCTTAAAAGTCCTTATATTTTTTGGAATCGATTTTTGGTCCTTAAAAGTCCTTAATTTTGGCCAAAATCAGCAGAAGGTCCTTAATTTTAATCATCTGAATTTTCTGTCTGTTTTTACGACTGCCATTTTGAGTGTGAATTAGCATTTTGGAAGAATATTTTTGGCGATTCACTGACGTATATGGTTATCTTTTGAATGGTTTCATGGGTTATAATTTGTTTCTATTTCTAATATAAATGACGGGATACTTGAGTGTCAAAGCAAGAAGTGAAACATAAGCATTTCGAAATTCATCTTTTTCCAATAAAGAGCACTTAAAAAACTTGCCCTTTTGGGAATGTGAATTTTTGTATTAAACGGTTCTAAATTTGGCGACTTTAAGATCAGTTTCTATAGAAAATTTTTAATCCCAAGATCTGAGAATTTTTCGACAATTTTTTTAAAACATCCTAACATTGATCTGTTATAAGAAATTATATTTAAAAATAACATTAAAATAACAAACATTTTTATTTTTCGCTCTCGTGTTATAAAGTTTTATTTTGGCAACTTATTATACAATATTTTGAATCTGAAAATTAAACAAGGTATAATGCTATAAAGCACAATTTACGAAAATAGCTCTTAGCAAAAGCAAAATTAGCTATGTAATTAATTAAAAAATATCTTTTTAATTTTTACATAGTAATCGTTTTTCCTCATGTAATTGACTCAAAATATCTCAGAAATATCTAGCAATATGCATCAGTTTTCTCTATAAAGTTAATTTTTACACATTTTCCCTCCCCCTTTTTTCCCCCTCCAAAGTATATTTCTGACTTTTCGCTGTTGCAGAATTTGTTGAGATAATTTTTCTTTAGTATTTTTGATATTGCAGCTTGGAAAATTTAGGAAGGATTTGAAGGCAAGACTTACTGAAGACCCCACGATTCTAGAAGAATTCGAAAAAATATGTGACAAAATGAGAAATGTCTCCATGGTATCAACATGCGTAATGGATGTATTTTGCAGAAAGTTTAAGATGATGAATTCTTACTTTCTGGAAGAAAAATGAAAACATAATATTTGAATGTTTTACTTGTGATACTACAATCTTTTTCTTAACATTTTTATCTTCCCTTTATTTTTTTTACTTTTCACTAGACACGTGGAAAATATCAAAAATGCTTCTAATGTTATCACGTGGGCAGACATTATAGAAAGGGATTTTTTTTATTAATAAAGAAATTGAAAACTTTACAATTTAAAAGATTCATCTAATATGTCTTAATGCATCATATACAGAGCTGGTACTAGGCATTTTCTCACCTGATGCAATCTCTGTGGATCCTAAATTCTGCTGCTTAGTGCCTTTCTAAATTCTGCTTCCAATGCCTGCTCTAAATTCTAAAAGTTTTGCCATTCCTAGATTTTGTTGTTCGGTGTGTCACTAAATTCTAAAAATTCTGCCACACCAGCTCTGTAACCGGCCTTTATACTATATATGTATTTCATATTTCTTCTGAATGTTCATATTGCTAAAGAAATAACATTAGCCACTTTTTCTATACATTCTAAATACATTTAGTGTTTTTTAGAATAATAGAAATCCTTAATTAAGTTCCAAAATTCTAAAAAGGAAAGGAAATGTGTTGAAGAAAGAAACTGAATACATAAAGAAAATTATTCTTCAAAGATATGTGCAGTTAATATTATGTAAATTACCCAATTGTTTAAGATTTCAACCTTTATTATAATTTCCATTTCTATTTCCTCACATGATAGAGTTACTGAGCCAGATTAAATTAAAATTAAATTGTATAATCATTGACCACTAGTCCACACTTTTAGTTTGAATTTGACTGTTTGTGTTTAATTACGTGGCTGTGAGCTGTAACTGATTTTGTTAGCATCAGAACATGCCTTTATGTTCTAAGTTCTTTTTAAATAAAAAGCTTATTTAAACCTTTGTTTGATATTGTTGTTATTTTCAGCCATAGCGATAATTTGCTTCAGGTTTGTCGGGGGGTTGAGACTATTTAACTTTTACCAGATCTAGTAAACCCTTAGGTACATTGTGGAGAGGTTGACAAGTTAGGAGATAAAACACGCAGAAACTAGCGAGAGCATTGGTTTGCATATTGAGACAAATCTTTTAATTAATAGAAAAGAAGCTTAAATAGAAGGAAATCCATATAAAATAGCCAAAATGTATGGGAAGGCTTCAAATTAAAATGACGAATAAATATTTTGTTGAGTGTTGTTGTTACAAAATGTAAATGTTTCGTAGCTTTTAATGTGTAATTATCCTAATATTGTTTAGGAATCAATGTCATAAATTACATCTATTTTAAACTGTGAAATTGTATTAGATTTTGATTTAAATAGGGCTGTTTTAACAAATATTGTTAAAAAATAAAATTTAAAATTTAATAGTAGCCATGTAAATCCATAATGACTTAAGGTTATCTAACTACCTAATTTAATTACTTATAACTAATTGGTTACCCTTAAAAATTATCTCTACATATTAAAGGGAGTTATTGCCTTTCATTAATACTCACTGTGGTCACAAGATAAAACACGAAATGTAAAAATTCATGTAAAACTTATTCTTTGCATCTAATGAGACTTAAAATAATACAGAACAACTAGGTACTTTAATGACTTATTGGAACCTTAAAGTATATTAACTGGGTTACAACCCCTGGAGTTCTACACAAAGCTATGGCACTAACCGCATCAAACAGATCCTGACTAACTTTCAACACTTGCCAACCGTGCCTACATCAGGCCTTTCAGGTTTTTCTAATCAGCAGGTCTCTCTCTAGAGAAGCAGCAGCGGTGACAACATTGAGTCTTATATTATTGAATCATGCTGATTATGATCTTACTTCTCATTTTAAGTAAACCCTCATAGGTATGCCGTTTGACATAAAATCTACCTGCTATTTACAGATATGTGGCCAGGTATGGGACAAACTGGTGACTGACCAGATATGTGACAAAATGAGACATAAAAAAAAATCAACATAAAACAGCTAACTGTTAGTAAAACGTATATGTCACTTATCTTCTTTAAAATATGTCCTACTAAAAGTGTAAAGTTTTTAATGCTACTTGATAAATTGCATAAAGTTTATTTTATTCTCAAACTTATTGATAATTATGTTGATTAATTCATGTTTAGTAATAATGCATACTACTTAGGGATCTATTTCATTTTTAGGATGATATTACAGAAGTGAAATTCAGGCATAGATAATATTTTTTATTGAATTTGTTCAACCCATTTGCTAATAGATCCTTAATTTTTTTCTTAAAGGGTCCTTAAAAGTACTTAATTTTCGTGTGCAGAAATATGTACGAACCCTGCACCTGTATTTAAAACCATGTCTTTTGTTTGTGCTCTGCAATTATTAATTGAGAATATTTAGTAAATGTCATTTTTTAAATCAATATTTGGATGACACAAAAGCAGTTATAAAAATGTAGAACTAGATTAATGAAAACTGTTATGTGTTTAAATAGTCCAGTGGCTGTAATAAATTGGTATGCTTAAATTTTATATATTTGTGTGTGTATATATATACAGGGTGAATATAAGTCCCAGACCCATTTTGATGTTTAATAGTTCATAAAATAATAAGGATAGATTAAAATTAATAACATAAATGGTTAAATAGACTCAAAAAGTTTCATGACCCTTGTCAATGAACTTCCACGTGTGCCCCCTTCGTCACACAGAGAATATCAAGTCAATATTCAATTTCACGTCAGGTACCTGCAAGCATGTCAGCATCCACAGAGGCTGTTGCGGTTGTAATTCTGGCTTTTAGGTCATCAATGTTCAACACTCTCCTCCTGTAAGCGTTGTCCTTTACAAATCCCCAAAGGAAAAAGTCCAACGGCGTTATATCAGGGGATCTGGGTGGCCAATAAATTGGACCTCCTCGCCTCCAATCCATCTTCCTGTAAAATGGTCATTCAAAGAACTACGAACGTTGGTACCCCAATGAGGTGGTGCACCATCTTGTTGCAAAAAGACATGTGGGTGAAGCTCTTTTAGTTGTGGAAATACGAAGTTTTCCAACATATCTAAGTATACGATTGATGATACCATCTTTTCTGTAAAAAAGAAAGGCCCAATGACTCAGTTGTGCATTTGTCCACACCACACATTAACCTTTGGGGAATCAATCCCTTTGTGCCTCACGGTATTCATGGGGGGTTTTCAGATCCCCATATGCACACATTATGGACGGCAATTAGCAATGCCAGAAAGATTAAAGGATGCTTCATCGGAGAACATTATAAGCGATTGAGAAATTCAGCATAATCTTCTGTCCTCCTTAGCATATCTGTTGCAAAGGCCATCCTCCTAGGCCTATTGTCCAGTTCCAAAACTTGAACAATTTGAACTTTGTATGCATGCAGTCTTAATTTTTTCTTAATAACCTTATTATACACTGTCGAAATTGGCATATCCAATTCTCTTGCCGCTGATCTCACAGATCTTCTAGGATTGTGTAAAAATGTCTCTCTGACACGCTCAACATCAAAATCACTGGTGCAGGGATGTCCAGACGTTTCTTATCTGCGATATTTCAGTTTCTAGAAAATTTTTTCCACTGCAAGATGCTGATTTTGGATTAGAGGATTTTTTGGTAAATTCTTCTGCAATTCTCTGTGTTTGCATTATGAATTTCGTTCTATGAACCACCATAAATTCTTGTGGTGTTGCATTCTCTAATCCAGTCAAATAAAAATCACATAAAAAAGTACTAGAACAAACACATCAAAAGTAAACATAATATTGCAATAGTTGCCAAAAGCAAAAGAGAGAAAAATGCAATTATAAGCAGACAATATTAAAAAAGTCAGATATTTAGACTGGAAAATGAAATTATCTGAAATTAATCACACGCGCAGACGATATTTACAAAATTAAAGATATTCAAACCTGAAAAGGAAAAATATATAAGTTATTCCATTAATAATTGTCATAAGTTTGTTTATATATTCATTTTTTATGAGTTATTCAACATCAAAATGGGTCTGGGACTTTATAAACACCCTGTATATATACACATACCCATACACCCTGTATATATAGACCCTGTATATATACATATATACACACACATATATATATATACAGCTAATATATTAGCTATGTATAATTAAAGCAAATATTAATTATATATAGTTTTACATTATACAGTAATTCTAATGTTATTGACAGACAAAAACTTCTTGTAAAAATAATAATTTTCTGTGAATATTTTGAATTTATTTATATTTCTTGGGCCAAATAAGTTAGAATTTCAACTTCATCAGTTACTGTAGTTAACATTATTAATCTAACTTCAGTTATGATATAGGAAATTTTAAGTGTTTGCGAACAGTGATAAAGTGTTGTCAAAATAATTGCTTGATTTATTTAAGATACAGGAAGTAAATTAGAGTCTAAAAAATCATTAAATTAGAATTTTAAAAACTAGAATGAAAAACCCTTTCCTATATAAAATTTAGCAAATGAATGTTTCAATTAAAAATTAAATTATATTAATAATGTACTATATCGCATCTTTTTTTAACCTTCAAGTTATTCTTAACAAAATATTTGCTACATGAGCAATCATGAATCTGGCAAGAGTCATAAAAACTGCATTTTTTTATCTGTGTTTTACTCTCAACTCTTTCACTATTAATTCTTATAAATATTAGCACTGAATTCTTTTTGAAAAGTTAGTCTTGTTCTTACTCATAATTTTAAAAATATTTGGTAAAGCTTGCTTCTATGGAAAGTTTGTTTTCATTTTATATCTAAAAAAAATTATATATTCATAGGTATTTCAACAAGATGCAATTTCATAACGTTTGATTATAGTTATTTATGTATAGCATATTGAATCCGAAGTAGATTGTTCTACTGTTTCAAAGAACTTATATATATATATATAATTAATAAGCTAGGTAGTAAGTACAATACTAAAAATACGAATTTGGTCAAAACCTTTTGCGCAATATGCTGCAAAATTAAGGAAATGAGAAGAGAAATTGTAGTCAGCTCGCCAAAAAGTTACCAGGAGCTGTGGCTCCAAGAAAAAGTTCAACACAGTTTTTTAAAAAATAATGAAGTTGAAGGGTGAAAAATTAGGATACACGCGAAATAAAATGTAAATTATAAAACACAGTAAAATACTAATCGTTGGATACAAGTTAAAGGCAAAAAATACAGTAAAATACCAATCGATGTCACAAGTTAAAACATATTAAAAAACCAATCGATGGAACAAGTTAAAACAAATGAAAATTGTTGGATACAAGTTAAAGGCAAAAAATACAGTAAAATACCAATCGATGTGACAAGTTAAAACATATAAAAAAAACAATCGATGGAACAAGTTAAAACAAATAAAAACATATAAAAATTTATAAAAATTATAAAGTGGAAAATGGTAAATTAGCTCAATTCGAGGTCCAACCTGGCTCGATTAGCCACTCAAAACCCAGTGAATGCATGGATGTTTGTAAGCTTATAGTTTGCAGCACGGGGGCATACAAAACACAGAGTGAGTCAGAGTCGTAAAAATAACTGTAGAGAGCTTGATAGTAGGAGAAAAGAGGTGCAGAACCTTTGACTGCCCCCTGGGGATGTTCACCTCAACATTGGGTGGGTGGGGCAATTGCGCAGTTAGTGTGTTGAGAGTGTTCATATACAATCAATGATGAATTTCTTATGTCCTGCTCACTTCTACTTGTACCTGTTGTAAAATATTATCACATAGACAAAAAAGCAGTAGATATATTGTTCAGAATTATTTACTTTACTGCTTGAAATAAAAAATTACAAAGTTATGAAACTTTCTTATATATATATAGTTAAATATTTATGATATGTATTACATATGTGGTTAAAAAACTGTTAACCATTAACACATAATATGTTAATGAAAGGTACATTCACTTTTGCTTATTTATTATACTTACTTTTTCACATGTGACTTTATTCTTCAGTGCAAGGATCTGTATTATTGTGTCAAAGAAGGTATGGGACGTGCAACACGGAGAGGAAATAGTGTGACGCCTGGTGAGTATAATCTGTACTTTTACATGACTAAAAACAGGAATATTTTATTGCATATTACTAGATTAATTCTAACATCTAAAAGAGTAAATATTTAAAATAATGATTAAATAAATTCAAAATAAATTTAAGCAAAGCAACAACCTTGTGTTTGGCATACATTTTAGTCAAGACTATATTGAGTTCGAAGGCAAACAGGTACAGGTCCGTCCCTCTTCATCAGGAGCAAAGAAATTTGCAGCTAAGGGAAGCTGTGGTTTTATTTATACTCAAAAGAAGTAAAAGAAACAAGAAGGTAGCGCCATCTGTCAGGAGAAATAGAAACAAAAATTGAAAAATTAAGTCAGTAAAAATTTAAAAGCATTAGGAAGAACTTGTATTGGAATTAAAATTATTAACTGAAAAGATAAACCTTTTTTACTAAAATGAAGATAACTAAATAATAAGATAAAGAAGGTAAATAAATAATAATCTTCTTAAATAAATAATTCTTTTATAAAATAAATCTTTTTTTTTTATTATATATATATATATATATATATATATATAAAACAAATCTTTTTTACTGTGAAAGGCTTCAAGAAAATCCATTTCACCATTGTAAGAAGCATTTGGGATAATTTTTGCAGACCCAAAGTCAAAATTATGATTAAATTTCCAGCTATCAAAGATTTGTTAATTTTGCCTTTTCAGACACAGGAGAAAATCTTTGGTAAATGGCAATTATTGATCTCAATTGAGTTCATTAGCAAGCAAAGATTCTAAGGATCAAACTTTGAGAGTAAAAATACATAATAGTAAAAAGAACGCCTCCCCCCCCCGCCTTTTTTTTTTTTTTTTTTTTTTTTTTTCTGCTTCACCAGGTGACATAGCATAGGGAATAAACCTTTTCACTGGAAGAGGATGATAGAGACTCAGTTGCAATGTCTGCAGTTTGACTGTCCTGATTTCAATACTCCAATTGTTCTCAAAATAATTTCATTCGTATTGAAAGATCATAGAAAGCTTTCTTCGCCTTCTTAATTTGTTCATCATCCAACAAAATTCGGTGTTTAGTTAGTGTGCCCCAACACACTGCTTTGGCCTCTGCTTCAGATTGAAACGGGAGGCACTTAGTTGTCCCTGCTAGTATCAATCGGCTGGTCACTTGCCTTAAGGACAGTGGCTTTGGAAGTTCCTGCTTTGGGGAGAACTGACTGTGGGGGCTTCAAATTGCGCATTTAACCCTGGCGCAGACTTGTTGTGTCCCCTTGTTGGACTCCGTGGTGGGTGGGGCTGCCGGGTCCGAAACATTTCTCTCTTCAATATAGCTATTTCTAAAATATATCTAATTAAAAACTTCAAAGTCAGTCAGGTCACTCAAAGTGCTAATTCTTCTGAAAAACCTACTGCTAAAAAGGTACATACTGATGCAAATGCCAATAATCCAAACATTTGTCCCCACTTCCTTGTTGTCTCTAGTCATTCTGGCGAGCTGCAAAAGATGTCTCCTTTCGTAATAAATAAATATATTCATTCTTGTATTGGTGAGCCGAGAAATATAAAGCGTCTCCTCTCTGGAGACTTGCTTATTGGTACAACTTCTGTGACTCAATCTGCTTCTTTACTTCAAATAACCAAATTTGGGCAAGTGAATGTCACTGTAACAGCACATAAGACATAGATTTATTGTTGAGGTTTAATCTCGGAAGTTGACCTACGCTGTGTTTCTGAAGAACAGATCGCATCCGAGCTGTTTGACCAAAATGTCTGTGGTGTTAAGCGGATCAAGATGCGTAAGGAAGGTCAGTTGATCAATACGAAGCACGTAATCCTGGCCTTCAACTCGCCTGATCTGCCTAAGAATATTAAGATTGGATACCTAAATTGTCCAGTAAGACCTTATATTCCAAGCCCTATGCGATACTTCCAATGCCAGCACTTCAGCCATTCTAAGATGTCTTGTCGTGGCATCCTCACATGCACCTGATGCTCACAGATTGGTCATGATTGTGATAATTGTACCGCTGTGCCTTTCTGTATAAATTGCTTCGGTGAGCACCTAGCATTTTCTCGCCTGTGCGCAAAATAGAAATCAGAAAAAGAAGTGCAGGCTGCAAAAGTAACTAGGAACATCACATATGCTGAAGCCAGAAGATTACTCTAAAGCACACAGGTTCGGCCAAATACATCTTATGCCAATGCTCTGAAAACATCCCGTACAGTTGCCACCCAAACTTCAATTGGTACACAGACTCTACCCAATAAAACCCAACTGATTACAAACAAGAAGAAAAAAGAAAACCCAACTCATTTAGTACACAAAAAAGAAACAGTCATTCAAAGTAAACCCAAAAATGCCACTCAGAAAATAATTAATAAAAATAGATGTCCCAGCTATAGCTCTCTTGATAGGATGATTTCTGAATCTGTGGATTCTGAATTTTGTTGGATGATGAACAAATTAAGAAGGCGAAGAAAGCTTTCTATGATCTTTCAATACGAATGAAATTATTTTGAGAACAATTGGAGTATTGAAATCAGGACAGTCAAACTGCAGACATTGCAACTGAGTCTCTATCATCCTCTTCCAGTGATAAATTAGATAGTATGGAAGTAGAAGAGGGTGTAGAAGTTCCCAGGCATCTACTTCCAAGAAAGACTAAAAAACAGCACAGAAAGAACAAAAACCAATCATAATGGTCACCCTCGTCTCGTGGAACTGTCGCGGTTTCCACCGAAGTTTGCTTGACATCAAAGCTATAATCGATGCTTGTCATCCTGTGTGCTTAGCAACACAGAAAACAAATCTGAAACCAGAACAACAAGGTAAACTTCACAGATTTTCTTTCATCAGGAAGAATAATTTTGCAGGTGAGCGTGCCAGTGGAGGTGTAGATCTCCTCACCTCCCTGGATTATCCATCAAATGAACTTTCTTTGACAACATCCCTCTAAAATGTCGCTACTCGAGTAGATTTTGATAATGTTTTGTTTCAGTCATTTCTCTGTATTTGCCTCCAAATGAGCACATTGATCAGTAAGATTTAAATGGTCTTATAGAGCAGCTGCCTGAGCCCTTTATCATAATAAGAGATTTTAATGACCATAGCCCGCTCTGGGGTAGTAAAGATACAAATTGAGCGGATGATTGAAGATCATAGCCTTTGTCTCCTGAATAATAGGCAGGTGTATCATCTGATTTCGAGAGTATCAGTACTCTTATACCCGAAAACCTCTGTGAACGAGAGTAGAGTAGAATGTAATGTAACTGCGTAAATAGCACATCGCTGCTGTCTTATTAGTTAGTTAGAAATAAATGTTTGTATCGTGAACTAGTCTGTTTTAGTTGCGTCATGCATTTCACAGAACCCACACCGCTAGACACAACAAGTTGGCGACGAGGCTGTGTGAGAAGCAAATCGTTCCCGACTCGGCGCACTCCGTAACATGCGTAATTAGTAGCAAAACCTAAACTTGGATTAGGGGATTCCCTGAAAACTGCAAAAGGTAGGAAAGTTATTTGATTTTTATTTTGAAAGGATGGAGAAGTTAATTGAAGAATTGATAAAGCAGAATGAAGCTTTAATGGTCGCATTGCAAGAGAAATCGGAACATAAACAAGACAAAATTTCTGTGTCTTTTGATAAGTTCGATGAAACGGTAGAAAATTTTGATTCATTCATGGAACGTTTTGAGGCTTTTTTGGACATTCAAAATGTTCCAGAGGCAAAGTGTGGGAAAGTTCTGATCTCAAGCTTGAATGCGAAATTGTATAATTTGAAATTGTACAATTTGTTGAAAAATTTACTCTCTCCGAATAATCCTTCAGATAAAAATTTTACCGAACTAAAAAAGGTTCTTAAGGATCATATAAATCCTAAAGCTTTAATAATACCTAGTCGGCACATGTTTATTAACAGAAAACAGCATGAGGGGGAATCAATTAGTAGTTATGTCACTGAATTACGCTCGTTAGTGATTCCTTGTGAATATAAAGAGGATATGCTAAATACCATGTTACGGGATGTTTTCGTTAGTGGTCTACGAGATCGTAATATCTTAGATCGATTATTTCAGGAAGATGATATCGATTTAGAGAAAACATTAAAGATAGCCTTGGCGATGGAAAAGGCGGTTAAGGGTGCAAATGAGATTATAGCAAATTCCGTAGAACTGATGGTACTTAAAACCAAGAAAAATGAGTCCAAACCGCAGAAACAAAACTTTGTTGCTAGGAACAATAAGGGTAAAAATGAAACTTGTTTGCGTTGCTTAGGAGCAAATCGCAATAAAAACAACTGTAGATTTGCAACAAGTGAATGCGGCTTTTGTAAAAAAATTGGACATATCAAAAAGGCGTGTTATTTGTCTAGGAAAACCGACAGGTTAAACAAAAGAAAGTTGAGGCAAATAATGTTTATGATTCGAAAAATGAGGTCCCCATCTATGGATTTAACTCCAGAACGCACATGTTCAGAGAGGAAGAGCCAAAAGACCGCCAATAATGGTTCAAGTTAAAATTGAAAACAAACCAGTTAGCATGGAACTTGATACTGGGGGAACAGTTTCGGTAATGTCTATAAATAAATTTAGAAAAATTTCCAATAAAAAGATTCAGCCTACAATTTAGTTTTTAAAACTTACAGGGGTGATAAGGTGGTACCTTTAGGATATGTTCCTGTTAAAGTTGCATACCAAGGTCAAAAATTAGTTTTAAATTTGTTCATTGTGAAGGAAAATTTGGACACAATCTTCAGCCGAGAATGGCTGTGTGAAATCAATCTCGATTGGAATGCCATCAAAACATTGAAAACTTCTAGTGAATTAAATTAAAAAAAATTACTTGAGGTGTATAAGAAAATTTTTTATGGTAAATTAGGTGAAATTAATAATCACGAAGTAAAACTAAATTTAAAACCTAATACTCAACCAATATTTTGTAGGTCATGACCGATACCTTTCGCATTAAAAAATAGAGTGTAATCAGAAATTGATTGGCTTGAGAAGGAAGGTATCCTTGAG